ACTGGTCGCCCCACTGGTCACCCCACTGACCACCCCACTGGTCGCCCCACTGGTCACCCCACTGGTCACCCCACTGGTCACCCCACTGACCACCCCACTGACCACCCCACTGGTCACCCCACTGGTCACCCCACTGGTCGCCCCACTGGTCGCCCCACTGGTCGCCCCACTGGTCACCCCACTGGTCACCCCACTGGTCACCCCACTGACCACCCCACTGGTCACCCCACTGGTCACCCCACTGGTCACCCCACTGACCACCCCACTGACCACCCCACTGGTCGCCCCACTGGTCACCCCACTGGTCACCCCACTGGTCACCCCACTGGTCACCCCACTGACCACCCCACTGACCACCCCACTGACCACCCCACTGGTCACCCCACTGGTCACCCCACTGGTCACCCCACTGACCACCCCACTGGTCACCCCACTGGTCGCCCCACTGGTCGCCCCACTGGTCACCCCACTGGTCACCCCACTGGTCACCCCACTGGTCGCCCCACTGGTCACCCCACTGGTCGCCCCACTGGTCGCCCCATTCTGCGCTGCCAGGGACGTAAGATTAAAAATCTCACAATAAACCAGGATCTGAGGAGGTTTTTACTGAAGTCTTTCTGATTTCTACTGGCAGCTTTACCACTATAGAAGATTAAAACCTGAAATGATGGCTTTTAGTTTCAGTGGCCATCCCAGGATTTAGTTGCCCATCTAACCCCCCTATTAGACATTTCTGGAGGCGCCACTGGGCTCAGTAGAGAGGGGAGGAGACCAGAGTTCAATACCGTCTGTCGTCGGTTTCTGGTGTCATTACTTGAAATCTAGATTTCATTATCTAGTATAGCCAACAAATGTGTTTGGTTCAGATTCACCAACATTCTCCTTCCCTTTGGAGGGGGAGACGTTTATCATCAATTCTAGTTTCCAGATCTGGAGTTTTCCACATCCTCTCTGCTTAATCTGAAACTGACTCTAGTAGGTAACAGGTTTAGATGAAGAACCTGAGGTCTTTAATGGCCAGTTTTACTCGTCTCGGTGAATTTCAGGTATTCTGAAGTCCAGAAGAGAGCGTTGACTTTTCTGGGGCATCATTGAAGTAGTTCTGCCAAGAAAAAAAGAAGTTAAAGATGTCAATCATCCAGATTTTATACAGTAGCCCAACAAAGCCTTGTTGATGGTTGGTCCACCCCTCTGGAATGGGGGCTGTTTAGCTTCTTTGTTAGCCTGTAGCCTGTAATGCCCCCTACCTGTTAATGTCTCTGAGAGGGGGGGCATTAGAGAGGATTGTTGGCCTGGCTAGCCTCGCCTGTTCAGAGCTTGTTGGGCTGCTGGATAAAACCTGGAACTAAACGCTATTTCTGACATTTTGAATTGAAAAATCTTCCTGGATGGAAGAGAAACGTCTTCAGACTTGGAAACAAAGGCCAGAGGATTGATATGAACCATTTTGGACAGTCTTCTAACCTAAAAGTGTTGTTCATCCATGTATCTGATCCATATACCTCTATAGGATCCTGATCCATACATAGCAGAGTCCAGAGGAAGCTGGGAAAGGTTGCTGGGTGTATCTAGATCCCCATCTTCATCTTTAACAATCCACCCTTTGGATAAGAAGAAGACGAAAGGTTTCCTCAAATGGACAATTGGACAGACAGACGGATGGTCTTCAGATGGGTGATAGTGACTCTAGAAAACTGATAGAATTTGGCCTCCTGGGTCCAAATGCTCTGAGTGGTCAGCAACCTGTGCTGCTTGTGGTGTGGTTCCCTTATCCTGGTCCACCTTAATGGGAGCGTGGAGATGTTCCTCACAAAGCTAACTGGGTACCCAGCTGCTCATAGAGGCCATATTAACTAAGACAGATTACTAGAGAGAGCGAGGGAGACGGAAAGGAGGGGGTGGATATGACGAAGATGAAGAAGGAAGGAGGACGGACGCTGAGAGGAAGACGCTGGAATCACATGACGCATAAAAATGAATGCATGTAGAGACAAACAGGAAGTCACCTCCAGGATGGATGGATGACGGCGTCGACAAACCCCGCCTTCTCTGCGTCTCCTCCATCCCTCCCGCTCCACCCTCTGTCCTCGTGCGACCGCAGAAGCTAATGCTCACGTGTCATCAATTTCCAACGTCGCAGCCATGAGAGACGCGAGGAAGGAGGGAGGCAGGAAGGAGTCATTAATTACCAGGAAGTGCTGGCGAGGCAGCGGCACACCTGTACAGCATCTTCGCTCCAGCTGACACACACGCTCCTCAGGGAGTCGTGCCCGGAGGCGGCCTCCTCACCGAGAGAACCAGCGCCTTCTGGGAAGCTGGACCAGGGGATGGAGAGAGAGCACAGACCCGCTTCACCACTAAACTCCATCAGGTTCAGAACCCTGGACTCCTGGACTGATGAAGAAAAAACTTTGATCTATTCAGGTTTTATTCCTGGGGAAAAATGTTAGAACATGAACAATTAATGAGGAAGAAAAAATACCAGAAATGTTTTCAACCTGTAAACCTGTTATGGTTGCCAGCTGCTGGGCAGGTCTGCTAATGCTAACCTTTGGTTGATTCCTACTTTATGTGTGCATGAAGCATAAAGATGCTAATGCTAATAGATCCTGCATTCCACGTCAGAGGATGAAGAGAGCACATCCAGTTAGTCACAGTCAGAGAAACAGGACTACACTGGAAAACAGGCCAAGCTCCAACATCTAGAAACAAAGGTGTTGATGGCAGCAGCACAGCTGATATTTCTCTCCAGGATGGAGTCACAGCCAAACAGGAACAGACCAGATGAAGCTACTATGAGAAAAAGCAGAGAGAGCAGAACGTTAGAGATTGAAGTAATAGATTCTGCAGAATGGGAGAATAGAGATAGAATGAAGCAGAATAATGAAAAAGGGGTCCCTACGTCCTCCAGCAGTCTAAGCCTATAGCAGCAGAACTATAGAGATAGATCAGGATAACCTGAGCCACTCTAACTAGAAGCTTTATCAGAAAGGAAAGTTTTAAGCCTAGCCTTAAAAGTAGGAGCCATTGGTTCAGATTCACCTTCTCTCACCTGTTTGCTCTGTTTGTGAAGCAGGACTTTAAACCAGGGCCTCTGAGGCTTGGGTTTAAATCACACAGGAAGGGCGACTCTCAGGGAAACTGGTAGTGGATTTTAATCAGGAAGTGATGCAATCATCCTCCCACTGGACGCACTTCTGCTCTTTCACATAAAATGCTTGTATAAAGTGAGTAAACGTGTTAAAGTGTCCAACAGGCGGGAGCTGCTGGTTCTCATGTTAAACCATGGAGATGTAAAGGTAGCGAGATGCAGATGGACGTCCTCCTATTTCTGCAGCTTGCCTAGTTGCCGTGGAAACCTGGCTGGATGCTTGAGTTCTCTGAGAAAAAAAAGAAAGCGAGGCGACCAAAACCAGCGAGACCCTTTTTGTTTTAGTGGGAACCTGATGGCGGGCGCACACTGCAGCCCAGCGGGGCGGCTGGAACCGGGTGCTTTTGTGTCTGACTCCCTCTCAGGGTGCGGGACTGACTTTGCTTAAGACAAGGGCCCCTTTGTTTTAAGGCTGTGGGGCCGCGGCCGGCCCTTTAATTGGTCTACTTAGGCGCTGCTTAGCATGAGAAAAGTCGGCCCGGCCCGCAGAGCCCTGCGAACTTTTGTTTTCAGCAGACAGAACAGGTTCGCTGATGAGAATTCAGATCAGGAGGAAAGAGTAAAAGCAAACCCCCCCCCCTACACACACACCCGGAGTCTGAACACGCCTCAATCACGCCACACGCTAATTACTCAACAAGGAGCTGGGAAAAAAAACACGTGATCTCAGGGAGGACGGAGACGCAGCTTCTTTTCCTCCAACAAACTTTCTTTGAATAAAAATGATCCGTCTCCCTGAATCGGCCCAGACGCCACCTGTTGCTGCAGGAATCACTGATGGGGGGGGGGCTCTTAGTCGCTGCTTAGCGAACAGACGAAGGAGATGATCTGAGGTCAGCATCTCCACGCTGAGGAACATGGAGGCGCTCTCATGGAGGTCCATACCGCCGCAGCTGGCAGCGCTCAGGTAGGATCCGCCTGGAATCGATGTTCCCCCTTCCTCCAGGTTTCATTCCTGGAGTCGCCTTGAAATGAACAGGAAAACCAGGAATGATGGGAACCAATCACAGAAACTAGCTGTAAATATATTTAATAAAAAGCTTTTCTTCACCATCAAACCGGGCGCCAAATAAACGCCTAAGAATCACAGCATAGATCTTTATCAATGCTGTGAAAAGAAGAACTGAAGTAGAGGAAAACATGTGAAAGTAAAGCAAACCCATTCGTCATTTAATTTCAGCTTCTTCCTTTCAAACGTTTCTCCCACTCAGATGATTCTAGATGTTCAAACTTTTTTTATAAACTCTGCAGGCCATGAATATTAACCTGTGCCAGAGATCAGCTGTTAGGCAGGGTGGGGGCCGTGTCATGCTGTGGGACTGTTCTTTCATATGTTTGATCCTTCACTGAACTTTGTGCTTTGTTCTTTTTTTGATCTATGAAATGAGTTAAAGTGAGGCTGGTTGTAAACCAAGGAGGTGGCTGCATCATGCTGCGGGACCTCTGGTCCACAGGACAATAACTGGTTTTCCTTAGATAGAAAACTTTGAATCAATCTGACTGGATGATCTGGTGAACTGGAAAGTGACCTGAGATGACATGATGTGAATTGGAGCTATAGAAATAAACTGAATAGAATAGAATTAACTAGTAGATGTTGGACTCATCGTTAGTGGGTGGATGATTATATTTGAGGATCCGTTCTGTCCTGGAAAAAGGAAACGTTTCTAATTAATAGAAGCTCGTTCTTGATGAAACAATGTGCAGCGTCAGCATCTAGTGCTTTTAGGTCTAGGTTTTGACCCATTTTGTTCTGAGATGTTCTGAGGAAATTCTGGGTCTTCAGGATGACTGAGAAAAGTCCGTCTGGATTAATTAAGTTTCCGTCTGCTTCTCTTCCATGTTCCAGCAGCCGGTTCTGGGCGGTGAGCTGGGTCTGGGGAGCCCCAGCGCCGCGTCGCCCACCAAGCCCGCGGGTCAGTACTACCAGCACTACGGCGCCAACCCGCGGAGGAGAGCGCTGCCCATGGAGCCCATGGGTGAGGAGACGTCTGCTTCCTTCCTGCTGCTGATCGATTTTATTTCAATCATTTCTGATCCAATCAGATCATCGTTTATATAAATAATCAGGTTTATCAAACACTGATTTATTTGTTCATCTGGTATTAATCAACATTTAGTTGATTTATTTATTAGATTAGCAATAATACTAATAGATGAAAAAAATTATCTTTTATTAAAGAATAATATTTTCTTTTATTTGTTGAATTATTTTCGTTTTAAATTATATCATAATTTGGTGAATAATTGTTCATGATTAGCTTTAGCATTTAAACCTGATTTAAAATCTGTTTTCTAGTTTGAATTAAATTTATTGTAGTTAAAGCAATAATGTTTTTTTATTCAGTTTCAATAAAATAAATCTCTCAAAAATATTAGATTGAAAAAAAAAATTTATTTTTCCATAAATAGCTGCCCTTTAAATTATATATTTTTTGTTTAAAGCAGCCTGTTACAGTTTAAGGGGTTAAAGGTCATATTTCCCTCCTCTGTAGCCAATCAGGGAGATGCGGTCATGGCGGCGTTTATCCTGGGCGTGAAGCCGGGCTGAGGCGATGATGCTCAGCCTTCAGCTTCAGCCTTGAGCCCCCCCCCCCCCCCCCCCTGAGTTAATGGCAGCGTCTCCTTGAGAGAAACCCTGAACGCCCCGCCGGCGGCCTTTTCCTGCTCTGAAAGCTTCCTTTGTAAACATGGTGACGGCGGCGGGAAAAGAGGCGCTAAAATAAAAGCTGATTCTCTTGTTTTTATTTCTCTTCTCTTCCAGAGGTCCACACTAAAAAGGTGCGGAAGGTCCCTCCCGGCTTGCCGTCCTCGGTAAGTGATGCCGTTCATGTGGTTGTTGTTCAGAGCAGAAAAAGGTGCTGATGTTGTTTCCCTGCTGGGTTTCCGTAGCGACAAGGTGATGTTCCTTTATAGACGCGTTTCTCTCTGAGCTGCTTTAATGCTGGAATTTAAGGTGTTTTAGAAATTATGACTTAATATAAAATAACAAAATAAGAGCCAGCTGATGTTTAATGAGGAGATTTATCATTTATCTATCAGGAACATTTATAATGATCAAGTTTAAAAGTACGGGAAGATTTAATGATTTTAGTAAAAATTCAGATAAAAGCTCTTTATTTCCTTCTTAATTTTAAACATAATTCCTTTTTTTTTTTTTTTTTTTCCTTGGTTTTTTTATCCATTATTTCTTTTTTTAAATGATTTTTTCTTTTATTTAAGAGTATTTTATTTTGTACTTCTACACTTTTTCTATTTTCCGTTTTTTTAAATATAGCTTTAGTATTTCACAGTTTTACGATCAATTCAATTAGATTAAAAAACATTTTTAAGTCATTTAAGGGTTTAATTTTTTTTGGTTTTACAATTTTAAGTATTTTTAGTGTTTTACACATTTTGTTTGTCACAGTTTTTTTTATTTAATGCAGCCATTTCGTTTTACCTGATATCTCTTTTATTGTCATTTTTTATAGTCGGTAATAGTTTCTATGGTTGATATTTTACTTATTTATTTATTATAGTTAATTAGAGGTTAGTCCTGATTTTCTTTGGAAGATTAGAAAAGGTTTTCCTGGAGTTTTCCAGTTTTTTCCTGGTATTTTCTGGGTGTTTTCCTGTTTTTTTTTCCTGGTCTTTTCTTGTCTTTGAATCCAGTAGTTTTTGTGTCAGATGATGACGGGATCTCCTGATGGCTGCTCTTCGGCTGAGCCATCCTCAGCTGCGGCTCGGAGGCCCGAAGCTCGGCCAACGTTCCGATGTTGCTGCTGCAGCAGCTGCTGCTTCGCTTTTGTTTCGGGGTTTTAGCCTCGATGTTTTCCTGCTCTGCGGCTTTAACTGCAGTTTGTGTTTTTTTATTCTTAAACGTCAGATTAAACATTTCCTCCTAAAGTTGGTGAATGCTGGTTTTCCCTGTTATTGGATTTTGGGAGCGTTCCTAGTTAACGGCTCGTTAAGGCTGGCTGAATTGTTCCGGGGGGGAGGCCATCATGTCCTCGGCCTCCCTCCCCCCTCCCTGAGAAGGGGGAGGAAGAGGAGGCAGAGAGACGAAGAGTGCGGATCTGCTGTTTAGGAGGCAAACAGAAATCAATGACCTTCAATGACCTTCAGACATGGAGCTGCAAACTAAAGCTTGATTGGAAGGATGATGGATTTCTGTAAAATGGTGACCAGCATCGTTACCGCCGCTGCTCAGCAGACTGAGCATGTGCAGAAACTCTTCCTCCTCTTCCTCCTCCTCTCTGCTCCGCTGCAGCTTTGCTCGGTTTTGGGTCGAGGTTTGTTCCAGGTTCCAGGTTCTGCTCACGGCTGGAAGGAGCAGCGGGCACGTGAGGAGCTCTGGTTCTGATCCGCTGCCCGTTGGCGGGAGCCTCCGCCGTGCAGAGGAGCAGAAAATAAAGATGGTGGCTGGGTTCTGTAGAACCGGCAGTTCTATTCTGCTTGGTTGGTTTTTTTCTAGAAGCTGTAAACTTTGTAAAGAGGAACTTTGAGCTCCGGCTGTGTTTTAGTTCTCAGTCGTTTATGGAGGAAAAATCATCCAAACATTCCTTCTGTGACCTGATGATTTGAAACGGTTCTGAAACAGATAATCCCAGTTTTATTAATCTGAGATAATCCCAGAGATACAGACTTTAATCTCTCTGGACAGCTGACCCAGACTGAAGCTGCTTGGATCATGAGAAGAACTCCATCATCAGCATCATGCTGTGCAGCATCTGCACAGCATGATGCTGCCACTGCCGTGCCTGCAGTTCTAAACGACCAATCTGATCTTTGACCAAATCTGCGTCTCACTCCTGTTTCCTTCATTTAAAGAACGTTTCTAAACTGTGACACGGCGTCTCCTCAGCTTGGTGCAGTCTAGCTAGTTACTGTTAGCATTGGCTATGCTCAATGAGTGTTGTTAGCATTTAACATGCTAACTTTTAGCTGTTAGCATTCACTATATTAGCTGTCCACATTGACCATGTCAGCTGTTGGCATTTATTATATTAGCGTTAGCTGTTAGTATTGGCTATGCTCAATGTAGCAGAGGGTTGTTAGCATTTAACATGCTAACTTTTAGTAACGTAGCTGTCGCTAGCTGATCCGTACCGTCAGTGTTTTAAATTAAAGCATGCTAACCAACATGGTAACAATGACTTTGCTAAAGTTCTATTCCTCGTCTGATGTCATCTTCATATTGCGCCGTGTTTCCCTGTATTTGATTGTCTTCTTTAGATTTTCAATTAAATTAAGACATAAAAACAAACACAGTTGTAATTATTTACAATCAAAAACAAAAAAGTGCTGCTGGAAGTAGGTCAGAGGTCGCATTTCCAGGGATATCTGATGGAGACGAGTGATACGACAGAAAGATGTGAACTCCTTTATTCTGTCATTATCAACATTTTACACAATCTAGATTAGTTTTTAAAATTAGTGACAGAAATAAGTAATTAAGCCTTTTTTATAAAGTGCCGGGTAGTGACAGTAGGGTAAGCAGTGTTAGCTGTTAGCATTCACTATATTAGCTGTCCACATTGGCCATGTTAGCTGTTAGCATTCATTATATTAGCTGTCAACTTTGACCATGTTAGCTGTTAGCATTCACTATATTAGCTGTCCACATTGGCCATGTTAGCTTTTAGCATTCACTATATTAGCTGTCCACATTGGCCATGTTAGCTTTTAGCATTCACTATATTAGCTGTCCACATTGACCATGTCAGCTGTTAGCATTCACTATATTAGCTGTCCACATTGACCATGTTAGCTGTTAGCATTCACTATATTAGCTATCCACATTGGCCATGTTAGCTGTTAGCATTCACTATATTAGCTGTCCACATTGGCCATGTTAGCTGTTAGCATTCATTATATTAGCTGTCAACTTTGACCATGTTAGCTGTTAGCATTCACTATATTAGCTGTCCACATTGGCCATGTTAGCTGTTAGCATTCACTATATTAGCTGTCCACATTGGCCATGTTAGCTTTTAGCATTCACTATATTAGCTGTCCACATTGGCCATGTTAGCTTTTAGCATTCACTATATTAGCTGTCCACATTGACCATGTCAGCTGTTAGCATTCACTATATTAGCTGTCCACATTGACCATGTTAGCTGTTAGCATTCACTATATTAGCTGTCGACATTGGCCATGTTAGCTTTTAGCATTCACTATATTAGCTGTCCACATTGACCATGTTAGCTGTTAGCATTCACTATATTAGCTGTCGACATTGGCCATGTTAGCTTTTAGCATTCACTATATTAGCTGTCCACATTGACCATGTCAGCTGTTAGCATTCACTATATTAGCTGTCCACATTGACCATGTTAGCTGTTAGCATTCACTATATTAGCTGTCCACATTGACTGTTAGCTTGTATGCATTGGCTACATTAGGTTTTAGCATTTTTAATGTTCGCTGTCAGCATTGACTGTTAGTTGTTGGCATTTATTATATTAGCTATTAGCATTGGCTGTTAGCCGTTAGTATTGGCTATGTTAGCTGTTTTAACTGTTAGTGATGCTAATCTTTTAGGCAATGTAGATTTAATGGTTTTCTACCATTTTGAAATTTTTTTAGTCCAGCTCCTCTTCCTTCCTTCCTGTGTTTTTTGTGACTTTTTTGGGCTAAATATTCATGTTACTGAAAGCAGAGTTTTAGTTTGTGAGAAAAAAGAAAACACTTCTTTAGCAGATGTTCTATTTTACGCTTCATTTAATAACTAGAATCTTTGGTGGCGTTAGTTTGGGTATAAATGGTTTTCATTCAGAGGATGGTGCCTTTATATTCGCCCTGAAGGTATTTATTGGACATTTATTCTCCTCAGATTAGATTTTATTTTGAACTTCTGACTCTGCTCTCGTCGTCCTCTTCAGCCTCTCAGCGGTTTTCAACACGCCTCTTTGCTGCAGAACTTTACGGCCTCCTGTTTCTATTGTTTATCTGTTAGGTAACCCCCCCCCCCATCACCACTCTGTTATTTAGTCACATTAACAGAAAAAGCACAAACATTTTTTTTCTGCACATCTTTTTCCATTTGCATGATTACACACAAGTGTTATAAAGTTGTTTTCCTCATTGTTGTGTTGCCCTCCCATATGCTCCATTTAAGGGGAAAACTCTTGTCTATTTTCTCTCATCTCTGTTTCACATCAACCGCAGACAAAATGGCTCTTTTTCTTTTAATTAATTCATTTCTGTCTCTTTTTTCTCCTCTCCCTATGCTGCAAGTTTGTTATTGTTGTTTCTCAAATTTAGTTTGCTGAGCTGATGATTTACTTTGAGAAACAATTAAACGTCACTTGAGAGGAGAGCGTGGGACGTCTTTGTAATCAAAAGAAAATTAGGCATCAGTTGCTAACATTAGCAGGTTGCGGCGCGCCGCCTTACTGTTGTTGTTTCGTTGCTTTTTTTCCCTTCAGATATCATTGTTTCGGTTAATTTGTGGTCTGCGCTGCTAAAGTCTGCAGCTCCTCCTCAGAGCTTTGCAAACGTCGACTGAATGATGGAGGAAACACAGACATATATGTCAGCATTAGCACCAAAAATCAGCCCTAATGAAAGCATAGAAATGAAGCCATTAAAGAGAAGCCAGATAATCGGATTAATTGCATCAGGTGGCCTCGAACTGTGATGATCATTTTCATTCATTTGTTGCTTTTGCATAAAATCAAACACATAATTAAACAGTAATGACTTCGGACCTGCGCAGGTTTGATATAATGAACTAGAGTTTAAAATATAAAAAATGTTTCGCAGGCATTTACAGTCAGACTTTTATTTGTTTTAGTCATTTAGCTTTTAGACTGTAAATTCAAACC